AGAATTGATGCTTTTGAACTGTAGGGTTGGAGAAGACTCTTGAGAGTCCCTTGGACTGCAAGGAGATCCAACCAGTCCATCCTAAAGGGAATCAGTCCTGAGTGTTCATTGGAAGGACTGATGCTGAAGCTGAAACTCCAATACTTTGGCCACCTCATGCGAAAAGATGACTCATTTGAAAAGATCCTGATGCTGGGAAAGGTTGAGGGCAGAAGGAGAAGGAGTCAACAGAGGATGAGATGGTTGGATGGCATCACCGACTCAATGGACTTGAGTTTGGGTAGACTCCGGGAGTTGGTGATGGACAGGGAGGCCTGTTATGCTCCAGTCCATGGGATCACAAAGAGCTGGACATGGCTGAGCAACTGAACGGAACTGAACTGAACTGAAGCAAATAAAGCCTTTGAGGAACAGCTTAAAGAGAGGAGGCTGAAATACTCTGACAGAGAAAAAATAAGCTGAGGACAGCTGAGAACATCACGCACAGCAGACTCGCTCCTCCTGGAACGAGAACATGACTGCAAACCTCCCCAAGAAGCGCCAAGATTACAGACTGAACTTTCTAACAGTGAGAGTTGGGAGAGCCTAGACTTCACTACGATCTTTATTAATAACACTCCCACAAAATCTGTTTGACAGCATCACATATATGATCTCATTTTAAGCCTCAGATGAATCCCACGAACAGTATTATCATCCATTTTTTGGAGTAAGAAACTGAGATGCCCCATCGCTTGGACAATTTGCCTGAAGTTGCCACTGTCAGGAGCTGATCTTCAGAGTCAGGTGGACCTCCGAGCTCTTTCGCTTCGAGCGCTCCGGGTGGTTTTGATCCTGGGGGAGTGAGGCGGGGGCTTCTCTTAGGCTCAGAACTCCCTTCTGCAGAGCAGCCCAGAAGTGACCCCCAGGGCAAAATCAGCGCCTCCTTCAGTGAAATTCACAGTCCCAAACTATGCAAAGTCAGGGCATGGGGCTCACTTCCGGGCCTCCTAGGTTGTGTTTTTTTGTTTTTTGTTTTTTTAATTTTTGGCTGCACTGGGTTGTCACTGCGTTGCCCTGGCTTTCTCTAATTGCAGCGCGCGGAGGCTGCTCTCTAGGGCAGTCCATCGGCTTCTCACTGAGCTGGCTTCTCGTGGCAGAGCACGGGCTCTGATGTGCAGAATCACTAACTGTGGTGCACGGCCTTGTGCAGCCCCAAGACACATGGGATCTTCCCGGGGACTGACCCACATCCCCAGCACTGGCAGGCAGATTCTAAACCACTGGACCACCAAGGAAGTCCCTCTGTGCTGGTTCTGAGGACAGTCTTGGGCAGAAGCAGTTACAAGGTGCTTTGCTGTAAATCATTACCGGTGCTTGGACGATTTGGAAGGCAAGCTCTGATTCCTGTGTGTTTCTGAGAGGAGGGAAATCGAAAGCCCCGTTGGCCTGATTTCCCTGAAGTCAGCTCAGCTCATGTCCGTGTGCCCAGAAGCCCAGCTCTCTGGCACAAAGCCAGGATCCCGCAAGGGCTAGAAAAGCCGACCTTTGGCCTTTTTCAGACAGCACAGCCCCGAGACACCTCCAAGCTGTCAAACTCTTCACCTGGTTACAATATACCCAGTGACTCTCGAAGGAACAGACATTAAGCTGCCAGTTGCCCCTCAATGCACTTGATTTTCAGGAGCTCGTGAACAAGAGTGATGGATGTTGGTTACCATTTGGCAGCAGCTACCGAGGCAGCTATTCAGGTTGAATATCCTCCTGCTTTATTCATTGCCCTTGGATTAGCCTCTAAAAGCTCCCAGACAGCCTGGGCCAGAAGAAGTCTGATTCTGGGACCTAGTGTTTGGAGAATATTTGACAAATCCTTGGTTTTGTTGATTTAACACTTAAAAATGGAAGCCAACTGACACTGGAAATGTTGAGGGATTAAACGCTACCTTCCTCAGTTTCCAGGCAGAGTAGGGCATTACAAAGAAAAAGTAAGATTGTTTTTCTTTATAAAAGTCCAAGGGCCAGCATGCCCTTTAGTAAAATCCTTGCTAGCCCTGCAGGAACCAAGGGGTCTAATGCAATGTCGGTGATGTTTGGAAATTGTGAACAAGGTATGAGGGGGGTCACAGAGAGACAGACCTTGGATGCTGTGGTTCTGCCCCAATTCCCTTCCTAGACTGGTGTGGGCTTGGGGTCTGAAGCTCTATTATGCCTCTTACTGGTTATGTATCCTCAGGTGAATTAACTTTTCTGAATCTCAGCTTTTCTCACTACAAAAAAACAATACTAAATTGCACCCAAAATTCCAAGGAGGCTATTGATTTTTGTAAACTTCAGTTGATTCTCAGATTTATACTCAGGAGCAAAACCCACAAAAGTATTGAAGGAATTTTATGATGAAGAGTAAGGGAAGTCATGCTATGAGAACTTTCCTGGTGGGCCAGTGGTTAAGACTCCACCTGGAGACAGGTGGACACAGGTCCAACCCCTGGTCTGGGAAGATGCCACATGCCACGGAGCAACGAAGCTGGCACAACCACTGAGCCCAAGTGCCCTAGAGCCTGTGCTCCACAACAAAAGAAGCCACAACGTGAAACCCACACACCGCAACAAGTGGGTAAACCCGCGCTCACTGCAACCAGAAACAGCCTGTGCAGCAGTGAAGACCCAGCACGGCCGAAAGTAAAAAGTAAATACAGAAATGATTATTACTATTAAAAAAAGAAGTGCTGTGAGTTCGTAAAACAATTTAATTGACTTTAGCCTTTAGTTCAGTTCAGTCGCTCAGTTGTGTCCGACTCTGCAACCCCATGACTCACAGCACACCAGGCCTCCCTGTCCAGCACCAACTCCCGGAGTTTACTCAAACCCATGTCCATCAAGTTGGTGATGACATCCAGCCATCTCATCCTCTGTCGTCCCCTTCTCCTCCTGCCCCCAATCCCTCCCAGCATCAGGGTCTTTTCCAATGAGTCAACTCTTCACATGAGGTGGCCAAAGTATTGGAGTTTCAGCTTCAACATCAGTCCTTCCAATGAACACCCAGGACTGATCTCCTTTAGGATGGACTGGTTGGATCTCCTTGCAGTCCAAGGAACTCTCAAGAGTCTTCTCCAACACATAGTTCAAAAGCCTCAATTCTTCAGCGCTCAGCTTTCTTCACCGTCCAACTCTCACATCCATACATGACCACTGGAAAAACCACAGCCTTTAGGGCTCATTAATAAAGGGATTCCCCCTGGTGGCTCAGACGGTAAAGCGTCTGCCTGCAATGTGGGAGGCCCGGGTTTGATCCCTGGGTTGGGAAGATTCCCCTGGAGAAGGAAATGGCAACCCACTCCCGTATTCTTGCCTAGAAAATTCCATGGATGGAGGAGCCTAGTGGGCTACAGTCCATGGGGTTGCAAAGAGTCAGACATAACTGAGCGACTTCACTTTCATTCATAAAGAGAGACAAGGCTAAGTTACTCGGGCGGGGGGCGGGGGGGTGGTGGTGAATACGTGTTGTAGATCTTAAACTTATTCCAGTTTGAAGTTGGAGGGAGGGGGACCCTCCTATCCTTCTTCACTAAAGGCGCGCTTTCTATCTGCTGTAATTTGCCAATTTAGTGGCATGCTGAGGATGGTAAAGAATCTGCCCGCAATGCAGGAGACCCAGGTTCCATCCCTAGGTCAGGAAGATCCCTTGGAGAAAGGAATGGCAACCCACTCCAGAATTCTTGCCTGGAAAATTCCATGGACAGAGGAGCCTGGCGGACTACATTCCTGGGGTTGCAGAGAGTCAGAGACACGACAGAGCAACAGTTGAGAATGGATGGTATAAAGATCTGACCCGTGATGAAAACAGGTAAAGAGAAAAC